GGCCTGGAGGCCTAAACAGTAGGTTTAGGTTTAAACAGGTGGTTCCGCAGTATGCCCTGTAAAGTAAATAGATGTCTATACTTGTTGATATTATAATTCTAACAATGAATGCTTCATCTTCTAGTTCCAACAGATACTATTGCATCCATTGCAGATAGAGCTAAAGCTAAACAGTAAGCTACAGGTTCCAACTAAAAGCGCCTTCAACTAGTGTTACTAAGAGCAAGATGTAATTCTAAATAACTGGTAACTTTAAAACACTTAAAAGAGCTTTTCAAAAGCTGTTACAAAAGTTGTTTTGTTTTATAACAAAACAACTTTGTTGTTTTTTGTTTTTTGTTTCTGCCCTTCACTGCAGAAGCAATGGACACTTCGTCAGAACGAATGCCCAGGGCCATGTCCCAACTACCAAGGAGGTCATGGGAGATCTGACTGTCCTCGAAGGCCAAGTACTTCAGGTCAGCCATTTCCCATTGGATCTCCCACATGAGATGGAAGCAGCCCGGGAACCTGCACAGGCTCAAGGCCATCCACGGACTTCAGTGACACCTCGGAACAGCACCCAAGAGTCACGGGTGGTTCTCACAGTGGAAGAGAAAACTGCAAGTTTGTCTGGACACTGCCTTCTCTGTCCTGGCTGGCTTTGGCTTCTTCCTTCTCTTAGGATGACCATCAGGGTCTCTCAGGAGCCCCAAATTAGCTTAGGTGACAGACAGACTAATATAGAAGCTCAGAAAAGCTTTTCTAGGGAAAAGTTAGCCTGTGACTGCTCAGCCTGCAGCACTGACCAGGCTCCCGACAGACAGGTTTGCCATCGCTCTTCAGTTTTTACTAGACATCACTGGACAGGACACCATCACTATTCTAAGGCAGGGTTTATGTCTTCCTCATTTACTAAATTATTGGGGATTTCTCTGTTCATATATTTAAGACTCTTCTGTTCTCCAACTGTCAATGTATGACTTGTTACAACTACAGGACTAGTTCATTGCTTGCCTTTGCCCTAATGTGTGAAGTTCTGTGAATTCTTATTACATTGCCATAAATTGGGTTATTGTAACTCACAACCAGTTAAATCTTTTGCCATCTACGCTATGATTCAGATAAGTCTTGAAATGTTTTCAGTGTTGTGCTTTATTTTCTAGGCTCGATGTCTTCTGACACTCTTAGGGTTTCCAGCAACTGGTAAAGTACAATTGTGATTTTTAAAAATCCACCACTAGTATACAAAGCAACTATAGTATTTTCAAAGTCAAGTAAGTTTAAATCTTAATTCAGAATCATCAATGCTAGACAAAATTGCAACTCCATGGAAACTTAACGTTTACACGTAATTATTTCAAACTGATAAGTCTAGTTCATAGCCTTAAACTGCTCAAGTCCAATGTTAAACAAAACGTTTCTCATGTCTAAGTTCTAAAACTCAAGTATTCAAATTGGTGTTTTCCACTGATCCCATCACATACTAGGTTGGGAAAGATTATACTTGTCTTTGTTTTGTCATCTAGACTTCAAGAAGGAACACCCAGAGCCCGAACAACCTGCCAGGCACCTGTGATGACTTCTGCCAGGTGCTTCTGATGACTTCTGTATTCTACTGGGGACCCTTAGACAGAGCCCCCCCAGAGGAATACCCAACTGCTGCCTTTGAACTATGCCCTCTGTCAGCAGGAAGTGGTCACAGCAGTCACCATCCCATTTCCCCCTAACAGCAGTTAGGGTTACTTCTTGGGGGGGAGGGAGGAATGTAAGACTGGGTAGTAGGACAAAGATGACCTCTCAGGAGGGAGCCTTCTTGCTTTGTTAGGTAAGTCTGGCCCCACCACAATAGGTCATATGCACAGAGCAGGGGTGGACCCCAGAGTGGAGCAGGGGGGCCGGAGGAGGCTTGTATCCCAAACCTGGAGACTCCCAGATCCCTACCAAGGACTATCAGTACAGGCACCAAGGACTACATCCCAACTGCCAAAGAGAACACGGGGAACTGGAATGCCTTCAGAGCCCGAGAACTCAGAAGGCATCCCCCCGCTTGGATCTACTACACCGGATGAAAGAAGCCCTAATTCTTCCTCATAGGATCCAAGGTCATCGGAACAACTACCCAGAGCGGTCTTCGGAAACGGTAAACTTCCTTCGGGACTAGGGAGAGAAGCTTTCTCTGCTCCTTACTTAGTTCCAACTTTAGGTCTCCACCCTCTCTGCAATGACCATCAGGGTTGCTCCCGAGCCTTCCCTCCTCACACACACACACACACACACACACACACACACACACACACACACACACAAATAAATTCAGATAGGCAGAGAACAACAAGGAAAGCTAGGTCAGCATGGACTCACACATACCTTACTAGGTAGGACACAGAGTAAGTACTCCTCACCAAGGTATTGAAGATTTCTCTGCACACCCCTCCTATAATGGTTATGCACCTCAATTGTTGAAATGTCAATGGAGTAGTCACAGGATGTGGTTAAGAACTTGTATTATTTTTAACATATTGTTTACTCAATACTATGTCAATTAATACCATAGCATTGCATATTGTTGCTGATGTTATGTTGGGGCTTCTGATTGATCGGGATTTTATTCTGTTGGCTCTACCTTCAGACCAGAGAAGGTCTCCCCAAGAAGCCACTGAACTTATCTGGACAATAAGATGCTGGACTCTGTGCTTGGTATATGCTTACAATGAAGGAATCTCAACTGAACTTGAGCTGTGGTTATGCAACAAGGTGGAGGAATCCACCATGGGGGGAGGGTTATGGGAGGAGTGGGGGGAATCCCAGTACCTATAAAATTGTGTCATATAATACAATGTTATTAATAATATTAAAAAAGAAAATATATCCCCCCCCCCAAAAAAGGACTGGGTAGTAGGTAGTTAGGGTATTCTGGGTACCCAAGTCATTTTTCCTCAAATATAAACGGATATTTTTCCCCACCATGTCTTACATTCCCCAGAGCATGTCTCTCCCAAGACAAATGCATAGCTTATCAGAAACATACTTCCTCAAGAGACAAGGGCGACATTAACATCAATTCCCCACCTGAAGCATCAGCCCCATTCTGTCTCCTGGCCATTACCAAGGGGGAGGGCTTCAGACTGGCCTCTTTATCATTAGAAAGGGACCAAGGAAGTTGGCCAGTGACATCTTTCTGGCCTTTTGTCCCAAGGCCAGGTACCATGGAAACCAGGAATTTTCTTTGTTTATGGAGAAACATCTTAGATGCTTTTCCCACCATTAATAAGGGCTATTTTCTTCTGTTTCCTCCTGCCACTATGGCAGAGGGTAAGGGTCCTTCCTATCTCAGAGCCCCCTCCTGTCACTAGGACCGGAGTCTCTCTTCTCAACGAAAATCCTTCTTTCCTGTGAGACAAGAATTGAGGTTGCTGCCATACTCTGGGTCAAAAAACCCTACAACAATATGAATCCATGGTGGGGAGGGGATTACCACCTTTACAAATCCCTTTATGTCTTAGGAAGAACTTGTCACTGGGTGTCTTCTGGTACAGCCAGGCCCACTTTCCTCATGACACAAGACAGCACAAACCTACATCACAAACCTAAGCAAATGCAGATGCACAGTTCAAATGTGGGATTCAGCTATAAAAAAAAGCCTTTCCACTCGGAAATGCTGCTCAAAAACAAAAACCAAACTCACTCCTTGGAACCAAAAAAACTGCCTGGCATAGACAACTTCAGCCACCGGCAGTATCTCCCCGAGTCCCTGGGCAGAGGAGGCTGCTTCCTAGGGCCACCTGCTCTCCCTGGACCTTTTGCATCCCCTCACAGACAACTGGGAGCCAGCCTAAGCCCTGCACAGTCCACCAAGGAAGTGTGAGGTTACCCTGGCGCATGCAGATGGACACAGTCCTAAAGGGGGAAGTGACCAGCCAAGATGCCCACCTCCCCTGTCCGCTGTCCCTTCCGGCCACATACCAAGCAGGTACCCAAATGGTCTCTCAGGATTGGCTGGATGCCGATTGGGCAGACTGAATCACTTTCTCAGGCACCCCCCACAATCTCCCCCCCCCCCATTCCCAGGACCATTTGTTTGGCCTGAAGGCTGCATCAAAAAGTCAAATTGCAAATGGGAGTGGGAAACTAGGAAAGATCAATCCTTCCCTCTCTTCCCCCACCCCATATTAAACTGTTAACAGAGGTACCCCCTCAGCGATGGGGAGAAACTGAAGACTATGGCCAGGATGCTGCAGATCTTTTTTCCGTGCTCCTGAGCAAGGCCAGGGCTCCATCCCGTACCCCTCCCCCATCCCACCTCCTTTCCCTAAAAGCGAGAAGCTGTGATCCCCTTAAAACCCGAGGCAAACCACTGTTCGCCCGTGACCTCAAGCCAAGCCACCGCGGAGCCATAAGGAGGCTCTGCAGGGACAGAGCCGCGCCGAGTAAGCAGAAAGTTTATCAGGCAGCGTTGCTCCGTCAAACTTCAAAAGCGCCAGCTCTGCTCCGATACCAGAGCTGAGCTCATCGAGAAGGTATCAAAGGGAGGCCCTCCACCTCGCCCCTTCCCAGGCACTGGCAGGGGAGCTCCGGGGGCCCCCAGACCCGCCCCTGGCCCGATCATGCCCAAGACTTCCCCAGCCGCGCTCCTCCAAAAGCCCCGCCTTGTCTTTCCCCCATCCCACTTCGGCCGCCCCCTCGGTTTCCCCTCACCCACAAATGACCCCCAGCAGGCGCCCCCTCCTTTCACCACGCTTACAGCTATCTGTCTTTAGCCAGTTTCCACCCCACAGACACCCCTAGTCCTTAACTCCATACTCCTAATCCCGGTTAACCCTTCGCTAGCTCAAGCTCCGTTAACCCCTTTGTCCCCATTCCCAACTTCTGCCTTAACTCCTTCCCTCGCAGCAGGAAGCACTCTTTCCGAGGGCTTTAACCATTCTTCCTCCTCACCTCGCCTCCCTTCCCAGCAAATTATTGGACCCCTCGGCGCTCTAAACAGCCCGGCCCGCTCTCCCCCGTGACCTAGGGCATACCAGTACTTGACGATAGCGGTAACCTGGAGCGGGTTCGGCTGGTCCGGGTAGAGGCGGCGGCACTCTCCGTAGATGGCGTGCAGTCCCGGGGGGAAGAGCGAGGCGAAGGCCGGAGGGGCAGTAGGGCCGGGGGCCGGAGGCGCGGAGGGGCCGGGGGCGCCACTAGGCCGCAGCTCCGCCATCCCGGCGCGTTAGAGCGCGAGGGGAACCCGGGAGCGCGGACGAGAGGGAAGTGCTCTGACGGGCCGGCGGGCGGACTCGGCTGGGTGCGCGACTCCCCGAGGCGCCGGGGCGGGGAGGGGCGGGCGGGAGGGGGGGAGGCTGCAGCGAGGTCCAGCTCCGCGCCTGCGCACGCTGTCCTGTCCACCCGGGCCCTCGCCGCCGCCAAGTCTGCCAGAGTGTGCCTCGGGGCCGCGGGACGCTCGGCGGGGCGGGGCGCGGCGCGCCCTGTCCCAGCAGCCATTGGTGAGTGTCACTGTCAGTCACGGGTGAGGAAGGCGTGACTGTACAATAGGCCCCGCCTCGCTGTCCTCTGGGCCGGGAGTGTCTCCCCCTCGTGTTGGGAGGAACCCAGAATGACTCGGAGACGTGGAGGTGCTAGGGTCCCACTGAACGCGCTGACAGGTGCGCCGCCAACAGCGGCTGAATCAGAAACTTGAGAATGCATGGATTCAGCCCTCTGGGTGGCATCAGAATGTTTCCAAATCCCATTGTCCCGGTTACTCGAAAGGAGTTAATAATCCAGAGGGGGGGAAAATGCACCGCGCTCATTTCAACCCGTTCAAAGATCCCACCTGCCGGGGTCGACTCTCTTTGTGAAGAGATGCGACAGCAGTTCTTGAAACCCTTAGACGGGTTTTGAAACTAGCGGTTCCAAATGTTGACATTGACAGTATTAGCCTGTTTAATGGCAACGCACAGCATCCCTCCTCCTTGTGGCCACAGCTAAATTTTTTGCAAGCTAACTTCTTGTCCTTTAAGAATACATTCTTCCTTTGCACGTGTGTGTCACAATTTCTTTCTGTTCAGAGTGTGAAGTGCTAGGGGAGGTGTCTGGTGATGTCTTATAGACCCAAATAAAAAATATGGCAACATATATTGTCCGAGAGAAGGGAAAGGTGGGAGTGGTGGGTCTGATCCGTAAAACCCAAACATCCACCAATTATTGACCAATCTGAACCCAGCTACACACAAATACTAAAAAAGACTACATACCTCAGCATGCATAGCGAGCCCCGTCAAGGGGACTACAAATCCAGACATGCAACATAACCATCAACCTGCGGCTCTGGCTCGTTAATCCGTAAGACTACAAACCCCATGGTCCTGTGCGTCGGAAAAGTGACGTCCGGTCTCTTCAACCAAGAGGGATTCCAGAGCAGAAGGACTGGCTGGCTGTCCCAAGCGAAAGGCCTTCTGGGGGTTGTAGTTTCTCAGAGGAACGGGCGGGCCGCTCCCTGGCAGCCCAGTCCCGGCGGTCAGTCTGCGCACGCGCGTCAGTGGCGTTCGCGGCGCACCCGGCTGGCAGTTCCTTCCTCGGAAGGAGCGATCCTTGTGCCATGGAGTCGTACGATGTGATCGCCAACCAGCCTGTTGTGATCGACAATGTGAGTTGCCTCTTTGCTCTTTCTAAAGGGACGTGTGCTCTCCTCCCCGAGACAATGGCTTTCCGGTGTCCAGCCTGGGTCGCCGGCTCTTTGTCACTGGCCCAGCGGCCTGTCAGGCGGGGTTCAGCCTCCGCCGCCTCCGTCTTTTCGCCTTTCCCCACCCCCAGTGTGCAGGTGGGGAGGCTGGCCAGTCACCGTGGGACGGAGGACTCGGGTGGGTACGGGAAGAGCTGCAGCGTGAGTCCGCTCCTCGGGCCCATGGGTCCGAGGGGCCTTGCCGCTCCGCGAGCCCGGTGCCCGCCCTCTCCCCGGTGTCCGATGATGCTACTGGGTGCCGCGGCCGTCCATCTACGCTGCTAATCCCGCCTCGGGGCCCTGCCGGATGAGGGCAGCGCTGTGCCGTTATTGGCTGACGCGCCTGCCCTTCCTCCCGGCCGCCATGGCGTTTCCCTCGCTCTGCAGGGGCGGTGCGCCGCACGAGGGCTGAGGGGATTGGCTTCCGGGACTGAGTGGCGTGGCCTGCAAAGGGGGGGTCCGCCTGCGGCTAGGGGAAAAGACTGAAGTTTCCCAGCTTGCGAACGGGTGGGAAGGCTTGGTGGTCTTTCTGTGGGTGAGGCCGGAGAAGCTGGCTCCCGAAGGGTTTCAGTTATTTATGTGATTACAGATGATCAGGTGAATGAAGATGGAGCAGAAAAGGAGGGTGACAAAGCAAGCAGGGAGGCGCCCTGCCGTTCGCAACGCCTAGTTGGGGGCATGGGAGGGGGTGATGACTAAACATTGGCCTTGTACTTGGAGCTTCCCCGGCGCTGTTACCGACCTGGGGTGGGTGGATCCTCATCCAGACTGTAACCAGTTAAGAAGAAATTTGGTCTTCAAAGTGAACTCAAGGTCATACGGTGAAAGCACCCTTAATCTGATGCTTTATCCTTAAGTCTTTCGTTTTGCCAGCACGTCTCCTGCAAACGGAAAGAATCTAAATACTGCTGTTACATCGGGGAGAAAAGGGGCAATTGCAAGGCAACTGCCTGTCTGTAATGTAATCCCACCCTGATGGCTTGAGATTTTTGCTGCGACCTTTCTAGGCCCCTCCGTTTGATGCCAACTCCCAGTGGCCTGTGTCGTCAGCTATCAGATACACTTCTTTTGGAACCTTGAACAGACTGCAGGGGCCTTTCGTTTGCATCATCTCCTTTAAGCTTTACTTCTGGCTGGTGGATAGTACACGCCGGAAAGCAGGACTTGAAGAATCCTCTGGTTTAGGAGTCCAGGTGCTGAGGCTAAAGATGGAGATCTAGTTCCATGTTCCGTGTTTTTTCCCCCATGAGAAAGGTGCTTTTTGTTGTTAGCTTCTTTCTAAGGAGGAGCATGGCTTCTGCATTGAAAGGGCAAGATTGAGCTCAATGAGACAACGTTTTAAATAGACACGTGTGAAAGGGAGGGAGGGAGGTAGAGCCCGACTATCCCTGGGCCTCCTCCCAATGCCTGCAGTAGCCAGGGATGGAGCAGGCTTACACCTGGGGCTCCGTCCCTGTGAGCCGTCACTGGCTGCCTCCTGGGCTGTATTTGCAGGAAAGCAGAGAGGAACCAGGGGAGCCAGGACTCAACCCCGGTGCCCCAGCTTGGGATACAGACTTGTCGAACAGCATCTTCTTGGCTGCACCTTATGCCCAACTCTTAGACACTTCATTTTTAAGAGGATTTTTTGGTCTCCTTCCCTAGATTTAAATATGGGAAAGCTGGTGTTTCTTTCCTTCTTTCTTTCTTTTTTTTTTTCCTTGATTGGTCTTTTACCCACCTCCCTGGATGAACTGTTAAGAAGAAGTTAAGTTTCTTAATTAGTCTTTTTCTCACCTCCCTCCAAATACAATGCATAGGGCACAGAGGCTAGCACCGCTGTGTACCCAATAAATGCAGTTTCATTGCATTCGTGGGCAAGTGGATGAATGATTACATATGTCTAGCGTGAGAGCATTCCTAATTAAAGGATGCTCTCTCGGGGTGCTTATCAAAGAGGATTAGCTAGAACTCTTTGATGCTGATTTTCGGTGAACACTAATATTTCTATCTCTGTGTGGCCTCTTAGCTGTGAAAAGAAGAATTATGTAGAAACTGTTTCCCATTTTCCTCTGCAATGCACAAGGAGCCGCCCATCTGTCCCATCCATCCCCTTGCGTCTTGACTTGTTGGGCAAGATTTCCATCTCCACTCAGTGCCTTTCATGGCGCTCAGGCTCCTGAGGTTCTGCTCTCGCGTCTCGTACTATAATCAGCCTTCCTTATCGCAGGGCCCATATTCGTGCATTCAGCCAACCTTAGATGGAAAATCCTTGGGGAAAAACACATCTAAACTGAACATGCACACCTTTTTCTTCTGGTCATTATTCACTAAACAGTATAACACAAAGTACAGCGTACAGTAGAGTTTTCCTGGAATTGGGTATTGTACATAATCTAGAATTGATTTAAAGTAAATGGTAGGCATTAGCATAGCAGTTGGCTCACCCACATCCCATTTCAGGTGCCTGGCTTGAATCCCACCTTCACTTCCCATCCAGCTTCTTGCTGTTTCATATCTGGGAGACAGCTGATGATGGCCCAAGGGCACCCACGTGGAAGACAAAAATGGAGTCCCAGGCTCCTGGCTTTGGCCTGTCCCAGCCCTTGCTGTTTCAGACATTTGGGGAGTGAACCAGCAGATGGAAAGTCTCCCTCTGTCTTTCTCCCTGCCTCTCTTTTTCTTTCAAGTAAGAAAAGATAATAAATAAGCAAAGATGAAGTTATATCAGAGGGTTGTGTGTGGATTGTATATGCAAATACTATGCCTTGAGAATCCTTTCCCCCATGACTACCAAGGGACAACTGTATATTTGGAATATTTCAAAGTTATATGCTAATAACTTGATGAAGTACGAGAACCTTATGTCGTTTTCCCCTTAAGATATGCTGAGTATCTAACCACATTTTCAGATTTGGGTCTCATGTGGTTCTTGCTATTTGGTATCTAGAGACTTTTAAGATGAAATATGAATAGGAAAAAAATCATTTGATTAATAACTGTAGATTAATGTGTGCTGCAGTTTTATTTCTGGACTGAAGAAAGGGTAATTCAAAGAAAGGAGAACAAAACGGAGAAGAGGCGAGGAGCCCCGTTACCAGCTCCCAGCCCTTCCTGCTCTGTGGACAGTGCAGCCACTTCTTTTATCCTCCTGTGGTGCTGGACCAGTTCGTTAGAATTTGGGAGGCTCATGGAGAGATGTGTGTGCACACACTATTGACAGTAATAAAGTAACTTATTTTTAAAAAAATTAAATAATTCCTTTGTGCAGTAATATAAGAGGAGGGCAGCTGGCAGGACACATTTTAAGGATAACAACTATTTTTTTATTTTGGATACATGGTATTATTTTAACACTATGCATGTTTTGAAGCTCAGAATTTTAAAGGCTCTGATTCTGCCCTGTAACTGATCAGCATTGTTATAAGTGTTCAAACTGTCATGACCGTGTGGGCCTGTCTGCAGGAGCAGTGTCAAAGCGTCGGCACTTTATCAAAAAGCTGAGGCTCAGTGGTCATTTTTGCTTTTAGTATAAAGAATTTCATGTTGCTTTAGCCCCCTTTAAAAAAAATAGGCACTTTGGACATACACAAACATTCAGAGAAGTTTAGCCTATGTCTACCACCCAGATTTCATCATGCTGACATTTTTGCCATATTTGCTAAAGGTTTTTATTTTTTTAGGAAGTTGTGGGCATTTAGGGGATAATCCCTCACCTACAGAAAATCTCTGTCTTTGACTTTGGAATAAATGAAAATAATAAATTAAAATTTTGTCCATAAAAACCTAATCCATCTATTATTATCACACCTAATAGTTACAATAATCCCATAATATAAAATTTCTAGTTAGTGTTCATGTTGCACTATGTTTTTGGTTATACAGCCCGAGGAGTGATCCATTCCTCTTCTGATGGAGAAGGGGAAAAGTAGGTGACTGATAACGTTATTTTCAATTGTGTATATATATATTTTTTTCTTCTAAGATTTATTTATTTTTATTGCAAAGTCAGATATATAGAGAGGAAGTTGATTCACTCCCCAAGCATCCACAATGGCCGGTGCTATGCCAATCCAAAGCCAGGAGCCAGGAACTTCTTCCAGGTCTCCCACACTGGTACAAAGTCCCAAGGCTTTGGGCCGTCCTCAACTGCTTTCTCAGGCCACAAGCAGGGAGCTAGATGGGAAGCGAAGTTGCCAGGATTAAAACCAGTGCCCTTATGGTATCTGGGAATGTTTAAGGCTCAGGACTTTAGCCACTAGGCTATGGGGCTGGGCCCACTTGTATATTTTGAATACAAGGATGTGCTTCCTGCTGAGCTAAGTACTGTGCGCGATTAAGAAAGAAGCCAGATACCACCTGGCATTGCAGTAGGAACACCTGGAGATCTCAAATCAAAGGTCATACAGGAATGCAACTACATCACAAAGAGATGGGACAGGATGGCGTGAAAGTGAAAGCCGTCTCTTTCAGGATGAGAAAACCGGACAGACGCTGGGCCACTGAACACGCCTGACAAGAGGGCAAGTTCTCAGCCAGTGGTCCTCTTGCCAGAATACAGGCTCCATGTTGCTGGATACTCTGATGTTTGTTTGTTTCCTCTCTTTTTAAAAGAAATCAGGAATATTTAATTTTATGTGCAGTCTCCAGTTTTTAACTATTGGCGGTTAGTGTGAAAGTCTTTTATGGTCTCCAAAGACAGGTGGATTTGTGGCTGTCTTCTGGGATGACCCCAGAGGTGGGGGGCGGGGTGAGGAATGACCGCTGATCGGTACAGGGTTTCTCTTGGAATGATGTAAAAATTTTCAAATTCGATTGTGGCAACAGCCATACAACTGTGTGGATAGACTAAAAACTACTGAATTATGCACTTTAAATGTGTGCATTGTATGGTTCATGGGTTTTTTTTAACTCAATAAAGTTTTTTTTTAGGCCAAACAAAATGTCTTTGGGCCAAAATGGGATACCAATTTGTAATCTGTGAGTTGGCTTGTAAAGTGGGAGTCAACCAGCATGTTAAGAAGAACTCAAAGTGTTCGGATACAGTTTGCCTAAGCCGCAAGGCCTGTAGCCAGTAGGTGCTGGGAGATCCTTGCTGAGGGAGTTGTTGTTTATTTGCCTGTATCAAAGAGTGGTCAGGGATGTCTTGCAGGGGACTTGAGGCCTCATAATCAAATAGCTCATGAGACCACTTTTCCAAGAAGCCTCAAGGGGGCGTTTGTTCGCTTGACTTGGCCAGGGTGAATGATTGAGAGTAGCAGTTCATTTACCAGCTTCACAGCTCCTAGCTGTAAATATTGTCCCAGAAATGGACAGTCCCCCCTTTCTGTGATCTCACGGTGTGGCTTGGGCAGAAAGAGGCGTCTCGGCTGCTGCTCCTTCCCCACTGCTTCTTCCCCCAGCCTGGCTGGCTCGCCTAGGGTTGCAGAGACAAGCTGGGTCTGGTTCCTCCTGGTGTGTTAGTTCCAGCACTGCCTTGGCCTCTGTGGCACGCCTCTGCCTGGGGCCTCTGGCATTCCCACTGCCCATTCAGGTTCCGAACTTGAGGTTTTATCTGCCAACTGTTTGCGCCTGATTTTTAGTCAGTATCTGTGATACTGCTGATACAGTCTCTGACTTCAAAGAACTTGGACTGAAAAGGGACAGCAATTGAAACCACAAATTTTACTAGAAGACAGAAATGCATGTGGCCTCTTGGTACAAGTGATAGTGACAGGAAGAGGATAATTCCAGCCCACGATCATTTTTCAGGAAGAAAGCGGTTGATGTCTGATACTATTTGAACTTGGCCTGTTACCTTTGTGCCGGGAAGCACATCGAGGAGAGGTCTTTACCCACCTTTGACTCAGACTCCAGCTGGTGTAACCTGACATCACACTCCAGGGGCCTGTTCTGCTCCTGACTCCAGCTTCCTGCCAGCTCCCACCTTGAGAGGCAGCTGGGATGGCCCTGCACTCCTGACACCCTCCAGGATGTCGGGGTTGAGTTCTTGGCTCCCCGCTTCAGCCAGCCCAGTCCCAACTGCTGCAAGCATTTGAGGAGTAAGCTGATAAATGAGAACTTTATCAGCTTCTCAGATAAATTTTGAAAAACTTTTTACCAAATTCTTAAATGCCCGAGAAAATCCATGTCTTACCAATACCCTGAAGAGGTCTCACCTTGACCCTTTCTGCCTGGAGGTCCAGTTAGCGTACAGCACCTCCCCAGGTGCAGGCAGGTGCAGGCAGCGAGCAGTGCTGGGCTGCTAGGCCTTGCCTGTCTCCCTTGCACGTCGTCTCAGAGCCCTGGCTTGGCAGTGGGATGTTTCTCCTTCAACTCAGTTTCCAGCTGCGCCTTTTCCAGGCCCCTGGCTGCCCTGCCCAGGCCGATGAGTTTGCACGTTGTCTCATGTTTGCCTGCTCCTCTGTCGGCAGAGGTTTCTGCTCCCTTAGAGAACAGGCTGCTCTCCCTGTAGCACTTTCCCTCTCCCTCAGTCAGTTCTCACTCCTGTGGGGCCCCTCCTCCCCCATTCTGTCACCTCCCCTTCTCCTGCAGCGGGGCAGGAGGCAGAGAGGCAGAGAGGGAACCAAAGGTGCTGCTGGGAAGCCTTTGGTGCAAAGCTTACCGTGGTTGCTTGGTCCCACCAGGTGTATACACTGCTTGGGTGAGCTCAGCAGTGACCACACCCCACCCCAAGAGGAAGTGGTCAACAGGCAGCTGGGAAAGACTTGCTCCCATTATACAGTCAGCTGCAGCCATAGCAGGGTGGATGGGTAAGGGTGTCAGGTGTGGTGGTTGAAGAGTTAAGAAGACGGAGAGCAGTGGGTATCCATCTACAAGCAGCATCAAGCCTTGGTATCTGCCCTGCACAGGCTTGAGTCTAGAATCAGCATTTACAGTGTTGGGTCTGGGGTGGTACCAGAGGGCCCAGGTCGTTTCACAGACACTGTAGCCAGCAGACAAGGCGTCGGAACAGCAAGACTGGGTCTCTCTTACTCTCAGACAAGGTTTAGGCCTCACCTGCTCTTTACCGTCATTAGACCACAAGAAAACAATAATAAAGGAATCAGAATAATCAATAGCTCACACAGCATCAAGCTCTGCCCCTGCAGGAGGTACCAGACAGTGCGTGTTCCGTCAGAATCTTCTCAAAGTGCTGTCTGTCATGGGGACCCCCAAGGCAAGGAGGGGAGGGGACTCCCCAAGGCGAGGATGGGTGGACATCATTCCACAGTGGTATAGCAGAAGAATCACAGGCTTTGCCACCTTGTTTATGTTCCTGATCTGGTTACTTAGCTGTTTCTGGGTACTTTCCTTTTCCCAGATTTTCTTTTTCTTCCTTTTATTAATATTAATTTTTCCCCCAAAATTTGATCAGAGAGAAAGAGCTCCCATCCTCCGGTTCCCTCCACAGATGCCTACAATGGTCAGTCAGTGCAGGTAGAAGACACCCAATTATTCAGCACGTCATTGCTGCTTTCCAGGATGTGCGTTATCCGGAAGCTAGATTCAGGAGTCAGTGCAGGGAGTCAAACCCGGGCACTCTGCCATGGATCTAGGTTTCTTAACTGCTAGGCCAAACACCTGCCTCTAATACTATCTTTCATTCCTTAAAACAGACATGTTTGGTATAGAACAAAGACTGCAGAAAATTTAATATGCTAAGTAAATAGTGAAAACCCTTCTCATGCCATCTCCAGTCCCACTTTCTGTCTGTTGGTGTGCAATCTCTTTTCCTAGGCCCATGTGGTTTAATATATTCTATACAAACATGAAATCTCTTTTTTCTAAATAATAATAAAACCATATAATGCATGTTCCCTCTTGTTTGCCAGTGCTGACTTCCATTGTCTCTCCTCTCCCCAGGGATCCGGTGTCATTAAAGCTGGTTTTGCTGGTGATCAGATCCCCAAATACTGCTTTCCAAACTAGTAAGTCAACCTGTAGCTTAGACGGGATTTGGGGGTGATTTGTCAGCTCTGTTATGATGTGGGCCCCCCTTTTTTTAGGAAGAGGAATCCCCATTCAGGTTGGCCTTGGTGTTAAAGCAGCAGGAAGCAAGGGCAGGAACTGGGTTGAGTGAGCAGAGGAACCAGTTGTCTACATGAGGCAGTCTGGGAGTCACAGGAGTGGTTTTTGTTTTTTGTCATTGGTGACTCATTGCTTTGGATGTACCTTTTGTTAACATTCCATCGCCCGGGATGAGGTTTAACAGCGACCTATACCTGTCATCTTAGTGAGAGCGAGTTTCTCAAAGGTGGAGAAATTGGCCACAGGAGAAGCAATGGGAAGAGGAGGGGGACTCTGCAGCGTGCACCATCGCAGCTCCTCTTCGCAGAGGTCCGGGGAGCGTGGGAGCCGCGCGGTCACAGAGCACTTCCTGTTTCCCTCTGGCTCTGCACACTCAGTGGGCAAAGAGAACAACCAGAGGATTGAATCCTCTAAAAGTTGTTTTAGTAATCTGTAACCTGATATAAATATGAAATGATATGCAAATAAGTAGAAACAGTATGTGTTCATTGTAGAATCTGAATACAGGAAAGTGTGAAAAGGAAGATCCTTTGTAAGGTGACAGCTGACAGTATCCATCACATGAAGTCTGTACGTCTGCCGTACATTCTGTCGTGAAGTGAAAACTAACAGTCCTCCCTGCTGTTTTTTCTAGTGTGGGCAGACCCAAGCATGTTCGGGTCATGGCAGGAGCCCTGGAAGGCGACATCTTCATTGGTCCCAAAGCTGAGGTAAAATCCTAGCCCAACAAAGAAGCTGCAGGCCCCTACGCAGCCCTCCCAACTCACCCAGCGAGGGCGTCCCTTTGGGCCTTCCCATCCTGGATCTGGCCAGGTTGTTTCTCCCAGGAGCAGCCTCTGTCCATGGAGAAACCTCCGGAACCCTGCTTTGGGGAGCATGAGGACCAATCTAGAAAACAGGACTCTTGCCTTCCTTCTATAGCCGTTACTGCCCGCCAGTCATCAAACTGAACTGGCTCAGTTCTTGTTATGTTTCTGGCAAAGCCTGTGCAGGGGAGATCCTGGCTGGCATATCCTCAGGATGAGTTAATTAGCACAGTTTTGACAAAGCCCTTGGGCAGCTCCAGTGAGCAGAACAACAAAACCATTGTTGCCAACTTTGGCTTCAGCACTACAGCCCAGAGGTGGGAGTCCTGGGGCCCTTCCTGGGCTTGGATAATGCAAGCAGTCTAGAGACCCAGAGAACAGGTGCCCGCCCTGCACGGGCAGGGGCATAGGAACCTGAGGCTGTTCTGTAAGTGAATTCAGCCTCACAGCGTGGTCCTGGGAGAGCTGGGTCCTGGCAGGGTGTGGCTGTCGCTGCAAGTCCTGCCCTCTGTCCCAGGAGCACCGAGGGCTGCTGTCGATCCGCTACCCCATGGAGCACGGCATTGTCAAGGACTGGAACGACATGGAGCGCATCTGGCAATACGTCTATTCGAAGGACCAGCTGCAGACTTTCTCAGAGGAGGTAAGGGGGCCGTGTGCAGCGAACTCCCCTGGGCTATGCAAGGCAGAGCCCCTCCCCTGGAGAGGATGACAATGATAGGAGGGTGATAGTGGTGCTGCCAGGGGTGCCAGGGTTTTCCTGTGCGCCAGAGCTGATCTAATAGAATCTCCACATTAGTCTCAAGAAATAGAGGTGGTATTAGCTCTACAAACAAGGGAACAGACATTCAGAAAATCCATGTAGTATATATTTCTAAGATAATCTTGTGAGTTAAGGTGACAGAGCTGGGATTCAAACCCATCTTTCAGAATTCAGAGCCTCTAATTTCTGAAGAGGTAAAACTCAATTCAGAAATGTGAAAAAGGTATATGCTAGGGGTATCAATTTCCAGGTTTTTTTTTTTTTTAAGCATAAACAATATAGGAGCTTATTTTGAAATTATATATTGGAGAGTCAGGGGGAGAGAGAGAAATCTCTAATCAGTTGATTCACTCTCCAAATGTTTTTAACAGCTAGGGATGAGCTAGGCCAAAGCCAGAAGCCAGGGACTCTGTCCAGGCCTTCCACGTGGGTGGCAGGCAGTCAAGTCCTTGAGCCATCCCCTGCTTTCTCCTGGGGTGCACGCTAGTGGGAGGATGGAATTGGGGGTGAAACCAGGACTGCAGCCCAGGCATTCTGATAAGGAGTGGGGGTGTCGGAGGGCAAGGAAGGATGAAGGGATGGAGACAAGGAAAGAATGAGACTTTAAAGGGGCAAGGCTAGGTGACAGGGCCAGCTTGCCTCTTTTTGGAGGGAGGCTCACATAGGTCCCCTGGCTCTCAAACCAGTTAGACAAATGAAAGGCAAATCTGACCTCACCCTCCTTGCCCTCTGGGCTCCTTCCACAGCATCCTGTGCTCCTGACTGAGGCACCACTAAACCCACGGAAAAACCGGGAGCGAGCTGCCGAAGTGTTCTTCGAGACCTTCAACGTGCCAGCTCTTTTCATCTCCATGCAAGCCGTGCTCAGCCTGTGAGTAAGAGCAGGGCCTGACCTCTGGCGGGGCGAGCAGTCCTTCACCACAAATGAGGCTGCCTCAGAGTCACATGGGTCCTCTCTCCGGCCCTAAGATGGTGGGATGGTCAGAAAGGGAGAATGACTCTTGCTGACCTCGACACAGAGTTTTTGTGGAAATCAGAAGAGGAGATGTAGCTGGTGTCCAGGCCACGTCCCAGTCCAGTCCTGCAATTCTTCCCGAAGGCCCCGGTGTGTGTCCCCATGTGGATTCGGTACCTACCGTGGGCTGCGTGCTGGGCTGAGTTTGTGACAGAGCTGGCACTCAAACACCTCCATGAGCCCTGTTCTCACGCCCCGCCACTCCTGTCCTGCTGCTGGCTTCCGCAGATCAGGCTACAGAGGTTCACACACTGCCAACCTGCACAGCGGCTCTGCTTGATGGAAGCTATGGGCCGACATTTGTACATTGGGAAACTTCATATCAGAATCCAAACCCATGGCCTCTCTGCAAAGCAGAGGGGACCTGGTGCTGCTGGGCCTGCAGAGTAAAGCCAGCTGCAGCAGCCACGGTGTTAGCAGGGCTTGGCGAGCTCCGCTGCCCCGCAGCTGGCTCCCTGCCTGTTGTTCCTCCGCCCTGAGGCTGAGTGTATTGTTAGCTACCAAAGATGGATGTAAAAGGCCATGTGGAGGAAAAGTAGTTTTTGGAAGTGAAAGATACTATAATTTTTCTTTACTCATTGGCTTCTCCCACCTTCCTGGTATGCACATGAGGCATTTCCTCTTGTGGGAAGAACTCAAACTGCCCCTTGGGCCAAGTCCCAGAAGCAGCTGAGGCGACCCAGGCCATGTCCTGAGACCAGAAGGCGTGCTCTTCTGGGGTCAGGGAGGGATCCTGCGGAAGCCCAGCTCCCTTCCTGCAGGTACCTCAGGGCTTCCTTAGCTGGGCCCACTGAAAGGTCCCAGAGGAACTGGGTTTCTTCCAAGGCTGAGGAGTCTAGGATCAGCGATGTTGTGTCTATTTCAGTTACGCCACAGGCAGGACCACAGGAGTGGTGCTGGATTCTGGGGACGGCGTCACCCATGCTGTGCCCATTTATGAGGGCTTCGCCATGCCACACTCTATCATGCGCATCGACATCGCAGGCCGGGACGTCTCCCGCTTCCTCCGCCTCTACTTGCGTAAGGAGGGCTATGATTTCCACTCATCCTCAGAATTTGAGATCGTCAAGGCCATTAAAGAAGTGAGTGCTACCTGCATCCTAAGGATGGGCTGGGATCCAGGATGATGACTGTTGTGTGGAAAAACTAAGGGTTCCTGTGCTGCCATCTTGTGGAGGGCAAGGGCACTGCTTCCATCTCTTCAACTGGATCATACTTTCAGTACAAATTAAATCTCGCAGGCTCTTTTACATCCTGAACCCTCCTGCCACCTGTCACTCTAGAGAAATCTCTGAGCTGGATCAGGAGGACCCACAACTGTATGAGAGGGAGGAGAAAGATACCTGTTTAGAGCGGTACAAAATGTTGGACAGCCAGGATGCCCACTAGGAAGCCAGGGCAGTAAGGACGCATAACCAAGAGGCTGCCCAGCGGAGGCCCATGGAGACCTCCTGTTGCTTATCTGGGAAGCTGCTCTTCCAGGCCTGAGGGCATCATTGAAGGGTGGCTGGTTTCTGCACAGCACGTGGCTCCCTGGGACTGCAGGTGTGTGCCAGGTCCCTGCCAGCTCACGGTTGTGCTTGGTCCTGCAGAGAGCTTGCTATCTGTCCATCAACCCGCAGAAGGACGAGACACTAGAGACAGAGAAGGCTCAGTACTACCTGCCCGATGGCAGCACCATTGAGGTAGGTGGCTGGGCCCCTCCCCTGAGACCTACCATGCCCTGAGGGGCTATGAGCCAGGACCAGACCCGTCCTTAACCATGGCCTCCCACAGAGGAGCCAGCTGGGCCTTTGCTTGCTGCTGTGTGGAACAGGATCATGCCATGCCTGACCAGGGTAGGATTAGGTGGTGGGTAGCTGTACCTGCGGAGTTGCTACTCCCGGAAATTCCTGCTAACAAAAGAGATGTCTATGAACAAATGAATGAAACTGTGTAATAATGTCAAAGCCTTTAAAGGGACTTTGGTCCCAACCCCACTTTTTTCTTTTTTTTAAGATTTATTTTATTTTTATTGCAAAGTCAAATATACAGAGAGGAAGAGAGACAGAGAGGAAGATCTTAAGGGGCTGCAATGGCTGAAATTGAACCGATCCAAAGCCAGGAGCCACTTCCGGGTCACGTGGGTGCAGGATTCCAAGGCTTTGGGTCATCCTCAACTGCTTTCTGAGGCCACAAGCAGGGAGCTGGATGGGAAGTAAGGCCGCTGGGATTAGACCTGGTGCCTATATGGGATCCCAGCGTTTTCAAGGCGAAGACTTTAGCCACTAGGCTACCGCACAGGACCTCCAACCCCAGCCTTTCAAGCTGGCTCTCCACCCTGCAGATCGGTCCGTCTCGATTCCGTGCCCCTGAGCTGCTGTTCAGGCCTGACTTGATTGGTGAAGAGAGTGAGGGAATCCATGAAGTGCTGGTGTTTGCCATCCAGAAGTCTGACATGGACCTGCGGCGCACACTTTTCTCCAACATCGTCCTCTCCGGAGGCTCTACCCTGTTCAAAGGTTGGTCTGCTTATGGAGCCTTTCCCAGGGAAACTTCCAGATCCTGCTGACACCAGATACCAAGAATTGACTTGAAATCCTACTTTTCTACCCATTTAGGTTTTGGTGACAGGCTACTGAGTGAGGTGAAGAAACTGGCTCCAAAAGACGTGAAGATCAGGGTAGGAGCCTGGGGGTACCGGGCGGGAGACCTGACCCCTGTGCTGGGGTCTTCCTCTGGTTCTGCTCCAGCTGTTGGGACCCCAGGACTCTGCAGGCAGTGGCAGGCGGTTCCCAGGCTACACGGGGGCCCTAAAACTCAGGTTGGCCAGAGGAGAGTCCACACAGGCCCAGTGTTCACTCCAGTTTCAGTACCCAGATGGAGCTGGGCGCTAGGCTGAGACTCCAAGTATAGGCTTTCCAGGAAGCTGCAGTTGGCAGGCATGGAGTTTCTGGCTGCTACATACATTGTCCCATGGCACCTTAGTGCAGAAGAGAGCTGGCTGACTGCCTGCAGGAAGCAGTCGGATCCTGCCTGCAGTCTGCACCTCCTCATAGCCCCAGCTTCCTCAGATGCATGTCAGGCCAGCCAAGGAGCCTCCAGGAGCCCAGCCAAGAGTCTGGAGCCTGTTGTGTAAACTGCCTTGGGTGGGGGTTGGCCAAGTCACGTCCATGTCTTCCTCCACCTTTGCAGATATCCGCACCGCAGGAAAGACTGTACTCCACGTGGATTGGGTGAGTAGCCCCTGGGGAATCAGTGTCACTGTAGGCAGAGGTGCTGGTCACCCTTTCCTCTAGAGGAAAGCCCAGGGACTGGGCGGCCAGCCTCTTTTTCACTGTTCTTTGAATTCCCTCCACCCCAGGGGCTCTATCCTTGCCTCCCTGGACACCTTTAAGAAGATGTGGGTTTCTAAGAAGGAGTATGAGGAAGACGGGGCGCGATCCATCCACAGGAAGACCTTCTAATATGGGACAGCATCTTCACCTCTCTGATGTTAACTCTACTTTAAAACTCGCTTTCTTGAGTCGGAGTGTTTGCGAGGAACTGCCTGTGTGTGCGTGTGTGGGTACGAGTGTGTGCGCAACACGAGTGCCGTGTGGCCCAAGGATGCCCGGGCCCAGAAAGGACAAGGAACTCCCCATGATGGCGACGGCCTGAGGCCTGGGCTTCACCACTACTGGCCCCCAGCAGGGAAGAGCGCTGGCCACGCACCCCCTTCCTCAGTGGAGCCTTTGCCTGGCTCTGGGGGACTACGGTTACCACCCTAGGGAGACCCTGCTGCTGCCTATCTTCAGCTGGACTGGTCCCACCCCACCACCCCTACCCCCAGGGTCCCCTTGCCCATCAAGCTGCCATGGGCACCTCCTGCTCATGGCTGAGGGTGGCGCTGGGCTTGCATTCTGTCTGGTGGTGGTGCAGTTTGATGTCAGAAGGCTGGAAAAGCACTCCTAGAGTAGTTTACAGACACTGGGCCCGGGCGAGTATGTTGCCCTCACACCCATCTGGGCAGCAGGACCACACTGGGCATTTGAGGACAGGAGCAGAGCCACTATCGATCTGGTTGCAGAAGCCATGCTCCAAATTCATTTCCAGAGCCCAATCCAGGGGTCTTGGGAGAGCTGAGGGAGCCCGTTGGCACCAAGGCCTGTTACTTGTTCATTCATCCCTGTTTCATTGCCATCTTCAGTTTTATTTATTGAAGTGTTTATTCAGCAAGGGCACTGGAGAGGGAGTGTGTTGCCTCCTGCCCCCAGTTAACCCTGCTCACACTGATGTTTACAGCACCTAGCCTAGAACCTAAGGCCCCACCACTCCCTGGTGACGGCGATCCGACAGTGTCCAGAGGCCACAGGACTGGAGCACTCCCATCAGCCTCTTCTCCCTCTTCCATTGCTTGCTGCCCTGGGATCCACAAGCTGGTTGCTGGCAGGGTTTTCTGAAATCGGAGGTAGAAGAATCTTGGGTAGAGGCTCCTGGCAAACGAGGGAGATTAGCAATCCCATCAAGAAAGCTGCAATTAACCAAGCTGCCTTCTGCCACCCTGGCTCACCAGGGGCGCTAGGTTATAGAGGTGAGAAGGCTCCCTCTGGGCTCATCTTGTGCTCTTCTTGACTTTGGACCTATTTAGTTAGGGAGGGAAGGGGCCAGACCAGAGAGCTGAGAGCCAACGGACTCAGGCCTGGCTCCTAGCAGTGCTCTGAGGGACTCTCCATCCAGAAGGTGCAAAGCTGAGGTCAGCCTGTCCTCATTGGCACCCATGACACCAAGAGTCCTCAATTCCAGTTTCCAGGCAGTATTCTCTCCCATGCCGTCCTAGGACCAAAGGCCCCTGCCAGATGTGGGCTGCAGCAGCAGGTGTGTGTGAAAGTGATGTGGCGCCCCGCGGACTGCAGTGCGCTTAACCAGCTCACCTCCCTTCCCCTAGCCCAAGCCCATTCCTCGCACAGCCTCGCACAAACCATGCTGCCTGGTGGGGCCCAGTGTACTTAAATAAAGTTGTTCCAATAAACACATCAGTTGAGCCTCTGTTTGTGGCTAGTGCTGGCTGGGAAGGGGAGGAATGCAGGTCCCAATATCGGAGGCAGTGACCTGGCCTGGTACCCTCGAGCAGGTGTGGTATCAGCAGAACTAGTGGGCTGCAGCTCAAGCCCCAGCTTGTCAGGTGGATGCAGAGAAAATGATGAACACGTGGAAGCCTAAGTTCAGGCTGCACACACCCGAGCCCACATGCGGCCTTGACTCCAGGTAAGTGACGGGACATCCCTGTCAGAGTTCTCAAAACTTGCATGTAAGAAACATCAAAATGTAGCACACCTAGACATTCTGGTTGATCATTTCTCCACTGGAACCCACACTTAGGGAGGAAATTGCCAGGCGCCTGACAGCTCTTAACCCATTTATCCTTCCAGTTATCCCAACTGTGCTCATTGCACATTTTACTGCTGAAGAGATGGAGCCATAATAGAGGCAGTTTCTCAGAAAACTCCACCCTTTACTAGCTATGATGTGAACTCAGTCAACATAGCCTTAAAAGCTACACTTTAAAAGGTGTATTGTTTTTGTTTTGTTTGAAAGGCAGAGATGACATCCACTGGTCATCTCTGCAGCCAGAGCCAGGAGCCAGGTGCTCTATCCAAGCTTCCCACATGGATGGTGGGCGCTCAAGTACTTCCGCTGCCACCTGCTGCCTCCCAAGGTGCATGTTAGGAAGCTGGATCGGAAGCAGAGGCAGGACTCAATCCCATGCAGCTGAAATGGGTTGAGGCATCCCAAGGGGCACCTTCTCCCGTGCCACAAGTGGCTGCCTAGCACCGCACTTGTAACTGCTATGCAGACCCTCAAGCCGATGGCCCAAAGGTGGTTATCTGAGGACCCTACACCACTCATCAGAGTGCCTGTGTTTGGTTCCCAGCTGCAGCTTCATGCCAATGCAGACCCTGGGCGGCAGCAACAGTGGATGAGGCAGTTGTGCCATGCCACATACATGAGAGACCTGAATTGATTGCGATCTTGGCTCCAGTCCCAGCGGGCATTTGGAGAGTGAACCAGGAGATGGGAACAGACTGTACCTTTCCAAAAAAAAAAAAAAAAAAATTGGTCTATAGCAGTGAGTTCCAATCTGGGTCAGTTTTACCCTGACATTTGGCAATATCTAGAGACATGGTTAGTTGTCATGGCTGGGCAAGGAAAGGTTGTTACTGCACAACCACAACAAAGAATTACCTGATCCCAAGTGTTTTAAGCCATGGTTTTCAATCCCAGCTGTGTGTAAAAAAAAAATCACCTGCAGGGGGCCAGCATGGCGGCTCAATTTGATAATCCTCCATTTCTGAGTGCCAGGTTGCTCTAATTCCCATCTAGCTCCTTGCTTGTACCCTGAGAAAGTAATAGAGGATGGCTCAAAGTCTTGGGATGCTATACCCCACATGGGGACCTGGAAGAAGATTCTGGCTCCTAGCTTTGGATTTGGGAGAGTGATTCAGCAGGTGGAAGATCTTTTTGTCTCTCCTGTCTGTAAATCTGCCTTTCCAGTAAAAATTTAAAAGGAAGAAAGAAAGAAATCACCTGCAGAGAATTTCAAAATCCCTGTAGCCAGGAGCCAGGGTTTGAGAGACCAGACCTGAGACACTGGTGTTTCCTGTGGCTGAGGCTCTCCCGCCTCGTTGACTACCATGACCCATAGCCACGATGCACAGGCTGCGGGCTGCGGGCCCCAGGCCTGGAGGTCATGTTGCTCCCCAGTGCCCACAGTGCTATCAACCTGCATCTTTCTCCCTGGGTACTCCAGGCACTAAAGTTGGGAGTCCACCACTGAGACTCAGAAAAACACTCTCAGGCACATACCCTAGGAATCATTGGCTTTAATTGGCTGCCATCAAATGCAGTTCTTAAGAGGCCTGCTGGGGTGAGAGGCTGGCCAACAGTGGGAGCACACCACTTCAAGACACTTCAAACAAGCCTGGCTGACATAGAGAGCTCTCAGAGAAACCACCAGAAGGGTGGGGCTTAACAGTTTACAGAGTAGCTGCAGTATTAAAAGTGGCTCCTGAGCTTGCCGGGTGGCCAGCCCCAAACAAGCAATGGGATAGGCCCCACAGCTACCCAGTGTACCACCCAGCAGCCACTCCCTCTGGGTCCCTATTTCTTCCTGTCCCACAAGGGAAGCAGGTCCCTGAGCACACAGGGCCCAGGCCAGGCAGACGCCCAGACATTGGTCATGCTCCTGGCTCAGGTCAGGTACTCCACCCACCATCTCTCCTGAGGATGGTAGAAGAGCACGATGCAGCAGGCAACAGTGGCACCTGCCTCAAGGCTGTGCGCTCCATCATCCTTGGGGCGGCCTTGCTGCACCTCTCACACTGTCTTAATGTCCAGGGTTTGAGCCTGTGCCAGGTGTTGGCGCTGGGCCTTGACCATGTGCAGGCGTCTCCCATGCAGTGTGAACTGGGACCAGGTGAAGAGCTGCAGCAACGCACAGGTGATGGGCACCAACACCAACAGGTAGAAGCAGCCCTGACGGAGCGTGGGAGCCCGGGCAGGGGCTGGGGCCGGGGGCACTGGCCAGGGGTGGGCACTCCCCACAGGGGTCAGCAGGGACTGCTCAAAGAGGTCATGACCTAGGGCAAGAGAACACAAAAACCACGTGGCTAATCCCACTCCACTCCACAATGCGTGTGTGGCATCATCAGGTTGCACGTACATGCCCAAAGCACAACTCGTGATGCCTGTCCAGACTCTCCTACCTCCCAAAATCTCCCTCAATTCCTCAACTGCCCTTGACTAGGGCACATGGCATATGCCACTACCCTAATCCGTCTCCCTGGGCTCTGCCCATTCTTTCAGTGGCCTCCCTGCGGTGCCCACCCCTTATCTCCTATGGTCTGTTCCCCATGCAGCAGCCAGAGCAAACATCAAAACTAAGTCAGACATGGGGCTTCCCTGCTTATAACCCTCCCAAAAGCTTTTCTTTGCTCCAAAAACAAAGTCATAAACACAAACCCTTCCTTTCTCTGCAAAACCCTCTTCCCTTCCAACCATTCCCACTCTCTGCTTGCAATGGGCTGGGATCTTTTCTAGAATAAACCCTTGCCACTCAATTCACACAAAGCATCACCTTCTTGGACCATCCTTCTCGCCCACACTAAGCAGCTTCTCAGTCATGTCGTCTTGCCTCTTCCCACTCCACAGCATCTATCACTGCTGCTATTCCTTGGCTCCTCACTGTCCAGTCCTCTGCCCTCACCCCCACCTGCCCACTCCAGCTAGATGCATGTGACCTCATCAGTCTTGACCATTATTCTCTCTGGCACCCAGAGCACACAGCCTGCCAAGGACTCTACCTTTGTGTGGGATGGATGAATAAACAAATTAATAAAATAGAGGCACTGAGACCCAGTTCTACTCAGAGAAGGAGGGTCCAGGATAACCACAGACCACTCCCATAGCTAAGCTTGCCCCCCGAGGCACTCACCTGTGTAGAAGCAGAGTAGCCAAGTGCCCAGGAGTGGAGCAAAAGTCTGGCCTGGTTTGGTCACCAGAGCAACCATGCCAAAGAGAAGAGCTGAAGCCGCCTGCTTGCGGTGGTTCAACACCAGGTCCTCGTCCACCAGATCAGTGACCACCAAGGTCAGCAGCTTACAGGTGCCCTCAGTGAAGACACGGTTGCTGCCAGTGGAGAGAGCAGGCAAGATGAAGTGTTGGAGGGCACGGGACAAAGGTGCAGGAACAGGGGTAGGCAAAGGCATACCTGGCAATGAAGATACATAGCAGGCCAGGGCGGTCTGGGCCAGCCAACAGCATGAGCAGGCTGAGACCCAGCTTGAGGAGGAACAGTCCGCGCACCACGGCATAGACACCCCAGCGACGGCACAGGGGCAGGAAGTAGAGGTTGTTGAGATGGGGAGCAACATAGGAGATGCCTGGGAGGAAGGGAGAAGGAACCCCACCACATCAGGGGCACTGCACAGCCTCAGCAATAACCAGAATCTGAATTTGCACGTGTACAACACTGACAAAAGCCTGTGCAAAGAGTTCCACATTCTGTAACCCTGGCAGCTGGTAAGGTAAGTGCAGCCTGCTCCTTACCCAGGGATAGCACGGTGGCTGCCCATAACCATCCTCCCATACACCGTAAGCCATCTCCAGCTTATGTGCAATACCCAACATAGTGCAAATGCTGCATAAATCACTTTTGCCCTGGAAGCAACCAGAACGAGAGTGATTCAGCATCCTTACTTTACAGCTCAGAAAGAGAGGTCCAGGGAGATTAAAGAACCCACACAGCACAGCCACAGAGCCATACCAGGCTCACTTTCCAGTGGGTGAACCACTTGCCTCCAAGTAGCACTGCCTGGCATTGCCTCTGGGTGGCACTAACACCAAAAGGACCTTCCTGAGAACAGGCCAGTGCCCCACACTGTTTCTGAAAGAGAGAGAGAGGTAAAGAGGGAGAGAGGGAGAGAAAGAAAGAGGGAAGGAAGGAAGGAAGGAAGGAAGGAACGAACGAACGAACGAAGGAAGAGAAAAAACGAACTGACGGCCTGAATCCAAGGGCCAACAAGCAAGTGGCCCTGCCCTCAGCTGGGCTAGGGACTCCTTATCCCCCAAGCCTGCCCAGAGCATGCACTCACCCAACAGGAAGGAGCCCGTGGAGAGGGAGATTTGATCTGACAGCAGATGTTCCAAGAAGAGGGGAAAGAAGTTGCTGTTGAAGTGGCAGTGGAAGACCTGCAAGCCCACAAGGCACAGTGAGCAGGGGCCCTGAAACAGAACTGGCCATGCAGCAGAACCCAAAACCTCACGCCTTCCTGCTGCTTAGCTAATGCATTTTTTTCTTTTTAAAGATTTATTTTTTTCTTTTTCTAATTTGGGAGGCAGAAATATCTGCCTCGCCTGATTCACTCCCCAAATGCCAGCAAAGACTAGGGCTGGCCCAGAAACCAGGAATTCATTCCAGTCTGCCAGGTGGCAGGAGGGACCCAGCTATCTGAGCTATCCCTCTGCTGGCCAGGACCTGCATAGAGAATGTGCTCAAAGTCAGGAATTACTGCTTAACAGTAATTCCTTCAGCTTCCAGTAGTTTCAACTGAAATCATAGGCCCAGCACAATGGCTCAATTGGATAATCTTTTCCCTTCAAGTGTGCCAGGATCCCATAAGGGCACTGGTTCATGTCCCGGCTGCTCCACTTCCTATCCAGCTCCCTGCTTGTGGCCTGGGAAAGCAATGGAGGATGGCCCAAAGCCTTGGAACCTTGCACTCGTGTGGGAGACCTGGAAGAAGCTCTTGGCTCCTGGCTTTGGATCAGTTCAGTTCTGGTCACTAGCCATTTGGGGAGTGAACCAGCAGATGGAACATCTTTCTCTTCCTGCAAATTTGTTTTTCCAATAAAAATAAATCTTTCTTAAAAAAAGTTTCATGGTACAAATGCAATTTGCTTCCAAAACCAGCTATACAGGAGGCATGGCATACAGCTTTTAGAGATGGTCCCCAGTGCCCAGAAGGGGCAGCTCCCCCACATCTTTAAGAATGAGGTCAAGGCTGCCTAGGCTGAGACCCACCTAGGAGCCCCCAGGGAGTGAGGCACTCCCTGGAGTTCGAATCCAGGCCTCCTGGTCACCCAGGCCACGCTCCTGCCTGGTAGATCATGCCCAGAACCCAATGCCCAGCTCCCGAGGAAGCATTCCTTGGAGGAGGTCCAGGCCAGCCCAAGAGCAGGGGACAGCTCCCCATACCTGCACCAGGTCCATGCCCACGAACCATAGGAAGTTTTGGTGGCGTGCCAGCTGCCGGAGGTACTGGCCCAATGTGATGCTGCCCACTTCCTCGGTGCCCACCAACAGCTCCTCTTCACACTGGCTACAGGGCAGAGGGAGGTGAGACCCTTGGAACTGGGCCAGGACACCAGTGGGACAGGCAGTCTTCAGAAAATGCCAATGGGAGCCCAGAGCTAAGGCAGAACACTCACCCGCCATCCATGGCCAGGGCCGAGCACCCTGGCTCCCTTCTGGCCACCTCCACCTGCCGCCTCAGCAGCTGCGTGGCCCCCAGAAAGCCCAGCCCTGAGCCAGCAGCCAGCACTACACAGAAGGCGCGAAAGGAGGAGAAGTCCTCCTTGTTCCAGAAGGCGTAGGAGGCAAAGACAGAGAGGGAGCCAGCCGCGCTGAAGAGGGAACAGTAGAAGTTGAGGTGGGTGCGGTCGTGGGCTGAGAGGGCCAGATCAGCCAGCAAGGCGTGATGGTGCAGGTCCACAAGCGTCAGGAAGCCATCATACAGGCACAGGCACAGCAAAAACTGCAGGCCGACTGGGGCCCAAGGCACCCACAATGCCAGAAAGGATAGCGCCAGCAATGGCCCATGCCAGCCCAGGGCACGAACCCGTGTCAGCACCACAGCCCTGGAGGAGAAGCCAGCACCTGACCTGCCGGGGAGAGAGGAGGGCTATTGAGAGATGCCCTCTGGGCCTATAGATGAGACAGAGACCGGAGTAGGGGGCTCCCACCAGGGTGGTTCCACTGTGCCCCACCCTAAGAAGCAGAGCTCTCCTGTGTCCTATTGCACCATCCTGTTGGCCCCCAGAGCCCCCAGGCAGTAATGGCTCTGACCTGCCAGAAGCAGCTTCATATGCTGGTCATGCAGGAGCCCCAGGAGCTAGACAAGCTAAGCCTAGCCCATGTCTGCTCCTCGACCCCACCCCTCTGCAAGCCAGGCCAGGGTTAGTCAAAGCCACTTCACCAACCTGGACCAAGCCTGCCCTTTCATCCCACCCTCAACACAGGCAGGGGGCTGCCAGCAGTGGGGGGAACTGGACCAGTGAGGAGTTGTCCACAGGACACAAACCGGGGCTGTGAGCCGAGGAACTTGCGGTCACTGAGCCAGCCGAAGAGTGGGTCGTTGAGGCTGTTCCAGAGGAGAAACACCGTCTGTGGTAGAGGGAAGATGGTGCGGTGGGCTTCTGTAGCCTCCCCTCTAGCTTGTCCCTAGCCCAAGCTAGAGGGTCGCCACCCCTCGAAGCCAGCCCCTACCCACCTGCTGACCTTGGCTCATGTCAGTGCCTTGGTTAAAAAGCCCTCAATCAGCCACAATTCCCTTTGAACTTCTACCAGCCTAAGGTCCCATTAGGACCTATATCCAGCTGATGCATAACTCAATGCAGTGTCTAATACAGAGAAGAGTATATCTGTGTGTGTGTGTGTGTATAAAGATTTAATTGTCCTGTTAATTAATATAATCCATGTGCAGTTTTTCCCACAAATGCTTTACAGAGCCCTTGCATGAATATATAGAGCAGTGGGATGGAAGTCAGCAGCTGCGAGGGCTGGTCTATCACACTCCAAGTTGCATGCTCCCCGGCTCTCCTTGTCAAGAGTCTCAGCAGGCAGCATGGCTGGCCCCAGCCCTGCCATCTGCTGGGTAGCCGTGCATGCTCCAGGTCCCCCAAGAGGCTCTGCCACCCGGCGCAGTCCCTACCTCTCCAACCCAGAAGGCCATTTTGTTGATCTTGTACACTGAGACAAAGGTGTCCACGTAGTAAAGCAGGAACACATTGTGCAGGATGGAGATGAAGAGGGCCAGGGAGCCATAGACCACGGCCGTGGGGAGGCCCAAGAACCAGGCCTGGGGCTGGCCCCATCCCATGGCTGCCAATCCTGGTCTCAGCCCCAGGAGCACACAGAGTGGCCCATGACCATGGGCAGGCTCACCATTCCTGTCCCTGGGGAAGAAGCAAACAGTTAGCAGCAGGGACCACAGCCAGCTCTACCGTCAACCCAGGCTTGCCATGGGCTTCCACCAAGAGCGTGGGTACTGAAAACCAAGCCTGGGAACCTATGAGGTGGTGCCTCTGGAACAATGTGGGACTTGATACAATGCTGGGAGGAACTCAGACAACTGATAAGTCTGTGGGAGGCATCCAGCAAGGCCCGGGCTTCCTGTGTTGGGGCCAGATGCCCAGTATCTTCTGGCAGCTGCACTGTACGATTGTAATGGTCTGGCCAGGACAACCTAGGGCTTGAATGTACACTGTGCTGCAAGTGTGACCTATGTAAGGTCCTTAGTAGTTTTTTCGGCAAAGGCAAAGAGGGGCTGACTAGGCCAACTCCACTGAGGCCCATAAGGAATCAATGAGGTACCTCACAGAGTGTGTGCAGTTAACAGGTACCAGCAGCACAGCCAAGCTAACAGTACAATTGCACTTCTACAGGAGGGTGGCCCCCAAGCTCAGAGGTGTCAACTGACCAACGCCACACAGCAGAACAACACTGGGACCCCAGGCTGCCTGGCTGCCTGCCACTTGATCTCAGGTGGGGAACCCTGCACTCAGACCTTGCTGGGGAACTGGGGGGAAAGCCCAGAGTGACTCCTGCTCTGTAGAGTGAAAAAATGTGGTCAAGTTTGAACCTGGAAATCCTACCTCGAAGGAACCAGCCCCTAAAGAATGTACTCAGAGATGTTTGTGGCAGCCAACCCTACAAAACAGTAGGGAGCTAGCCCATGAGCAAGGCAACGGGGCTGGCTTAGTGAGCCCCAGGCACACACAGTCCCTGGCACATCGAGGGGAAGGAAAGGGTTGAAGAAAGAGAAGAAGGCAGAGCCAGCTCTGCAGGGATAAGTCACTGACACAAACCAGGGTTGGGCTATTACTAGGGCTTCAAGCTGAACTTCTCAAACAGGCACACCCATCACCTGGGTGTGGGGAGCTGGCAAAAGCAGGCAGGCTTCTGGAGCTTTGTGTCCAGGTGACACAGAGGCAGCCAGCCCTTTAAGCAACCCAGCCTGGAGTTTTCTCATACCCATAGCTGCTTTTCTTGGCAAAAACTCAATGTCCCCCTGTACCCGAGCCCCAGCAGCTCCCTTCTCGCAAACTCCCTATGCTAGTTTTTACCCCAGATAACAAGTCATCACTGCCCCCCTTCCTTGCTTCACAACCTGTGAGTGTGACTATATTTGGAAAGGGTCTTAAAGATGTAAACAAATCAAGCTGAGACCACACTAAACTGAAGCAAGCTGAAGTGTCCTTAGAACGAACGAGTGATGTGGACCCGGGAAAAAACCAGCGCCACAGGAACAAAGGCACAAACCTGGGGGGCGGTGCAGCTCCGAGGCCCAGCACCTGGCATTGTCCACCACGGTCAAGGGTTCTTCCCTCAGATCCCCACAGGGAGCCCCACACCCTGAAAACACTTTGACGGGAGGAAGCCTTCAACCCTCCCGACCAACTTGGAGGAAGGAAGCTTGTTGCTCCTCTACAGTGGCTGTCCATTAGGACAGCCTGGGGAAGCACAGGCTGGGAGCCAGAGTTCCAGCCTGCCTGCCTTAGCTCATCCCAGTCACACCCCACATGGGGAGGCCACTTGGTTACAGGACCTGTGCCTGCCCCACAGCCCAGTGTGGCTTCATTGCCTGATACCCAGGCTGGCCTTTCCTCCCAGGCCTACCCTTTCCCTCCTGGTGCCAGGCCTTTATTCTTGCTTACCCCTCCACCCCCCAGCAAATGCACCAGCCCACAGGCATCGTCCCTTCTTTCAGGAGCTGCCACAGCATCCAGGCAGCCATTTGCACCCAGTGCCAGAAGCCATGCCTGCCTCCCACCCCAACCTGCCTGTGGACTTCGCAGGGCAGGAGCTGGGAGTTCAGGGAGTTCGGTGGAGCCACTGCTGAGACTCAGCGAGGATCAGAATAATCAGGGACACCTATGCATACTACCCCAAATGCCATGTTCACTGGGGCCAGGGTTGGCAGGCTGAGAAAGGGGAAGGGAAGGGGTAAGAGGGAAAGGGCTGGGAAGTGGCCTGGAAGCCTGGGAGGCTCTCACAGCTGACTGCAAGGAGCCCAGCAAGGCTGGAGGACAGTCTGGAGGCCCCTTGCTCAGGCCCCTGAAGGAAATGTTTTCCATTCTTCTCCTGGGAGCTCCACTGAGGTATAACTGACATATAATAAACTGCCTATATTCATGGTGTCCAGTCCGGGCAGCGTTCATGGGTGGCGCAGCACACCTGTGACACCAGCACAATAGAGATGAACTCACTCCTAGCCCTCAGCTGCCTGCGCACTGCTCTGCCCAGGGCCAAGATACAACTGGAGGCCTTTCAAGCCCTGACTCCACTTCCAGATCACCTGTGTTATCTGGAGCCATCTGCCTGCCCACCCCATGCTTGGGTCATCAGGGCATCATGAGAGCGAAGGAGCAAATACTCTGAAATACTGTACAGCACCGAATGCAGGGGGCAGCAAAGCTTTAGAGAGAATGGTAGCTGAGCCTCTCAGACCCTCCGCCAAAAAGGGTCTGGTCCCCACCTGGGGCCAGTAGACCCATTTGGAGAGTATTTGGGGAGATGCCTCTAAAAGGGCTTTGGAGCATAAGGTCCTCCTTCTCTGTCCCTAACCCAGCTCACAGTGTCTGCCTCCCTAGGGACTCTCACAACTCCCCTGCCTCAACTCCAAAGCTTTTCAAAGCCCAGAGACACCCCTACTGGGCCCACTCCATTCAGTCCAGCCCTGTCCTTGGTGCTGGAGAAGGCCAAGCCCATGGCACACGGGGTCCTCCTGCCTTCACTTCAAAGGGTAAGGCGAGGTGAATGGTGTGACTTTCACCAATATAAAGGTCTGGTTTGAATCCCAACTGCATGGCCAGTGCTGTGGTATAGTGGGTAAAGCCGCTACCTGCAATGCCAGCATCCCATGTGGGTGCTGGTTTGAGTCCTGGTTGCTCTACTTCTAATCCAGCACCCTGCTAATGTGCCTAGGACATCAGCAGAGAAGCCCCAAGCGTTTAGACCTCTATACCCATGTGGGAGATTCACAGAAAGCTCCTGGATTTCTGGCCTCAGACCAGCCCAGATCCAGCCAATGTGGTCATTTGGGGAGTGAACCAGCAGACAGAGATCTCTCTGTCTCTAACTCTAACTCATAATCTCAAATCTTAACTGCACTTCTATTCAGAGTGCAACATTAAGCAAGTCCCCAACCCTTGGTTTCCACGACTATAAAATAGGGTAATGAGGTCTGGGGTGCTGGAAGGATGAGGACCCAGAAAGCCAGGACCACAGTGCCTATCACACAAAAGCAGCTCAGAAACTGGCTTTTTCTTGGACTCACTTGTAACACAGGAAAGGGTAGGAGCAAAGAATACATGGTAACCAGGCCCTTTCCCCAGGGAAAGGGGTGAGAAAAGGGGTTCAGGGGAGCAGGGTCACATAGGATGGTGGGAACACCAAGGACAGCCCCTCAACTGCAAACCCACAATAGAGACAAAGGCACCTGTCCCGTGACTTGCTGGGCTGGCCAGCAGCAGGGGAGAGGCACACAGGGTCCGATTCAGATTATCCTACCAGGAGCTGGCCTCCTCCCCCATTCTCTTCCCTCAATCCACCCCAGCTGAAAACAATGGCCAGGCAGACATGGGGAGGGAGCACAGCCTGGTTGTGTAAGCTTGGTGAGGTGTCCTATAACCTACAGCCAGCTCCACCCTACCCCCGGGCTCCTTGCACAAGAGCCTGCGGGAGGCCCCCTTCAATCCGGTCCAGTTGGTGGTCCTATCAGCCACTCCCTCCCTCTGAGCCTCGGTCTCTTGCCCACAAAGTGGGGATGTCAGTGCCAACATCTCAGATGGCGGGGGGTGGGGGGGAATGAAAGGAACCAAGCAGGGCGCATGACAGGGCAGCCCTCAATAAACAGCAGCTGGTTTTGTTTTTTCATGCCTCTGAAATGAGGTCTCATGATCTTCCAATGTACGTCCATGACCACGCTGCCAGACCCACAGCTGAAGTGGTCTCTTCCTTTGCTATCTGAAAGATCCTAGCCTCTTTCAGTGGATGGGAGTGTCCCTTGGCTTTGGCAAAATACTGGGGTCAGCTTAGTCCCAATATCCCAGCCTTGCCTCACACTCCTCCTTAACCACCTCCACCCTGGTGTCCTCAACAACACACAGCTCCCTCCCACTTGCCTGTCTGACGTCTCTAAACGTCATGATGAGCTTTACAGGCCCTTGTCCCTCCTTCCACTGGCACAAACGAAGATGCCGATGCCCCAAAGGTTAAAACACCTGACCCAGTGCCAGAGAGCTCTTAGGTGCTGCAGCCAAGATTCAAAACAGGCTTGACCAGAAACTTTAGGATTTCTCACTTCACCTTGTGCATCTCCTCTCATCCAATCAGCACCATAGAGATTCCCAAATGCACCCAATCAGGTGTTCTCCCCTTTTCTGTCCGTAAGCCCCTGGATCAGGCACCCAAATGCCTTCCTTACCCTCCCCTTCTGGTCCATTGGCCCAGTAAATGCCCTCCTTGACCCCTGTACTTGCCTCCACCTGGCTCCCTCATCATGCAGTGATTGCTCAACGAAAACCTTCTGGTCCAACTCACTCCTTTGGCCAGCAGGGCAACCCTAGCCCCAGCTGTAGCAAATGACCATCAGTAGGCCCTGCTCTGCTCCAGCTGTGCTGTTTCACAGCTGGGGCAGGGGCAGAGGCAGCCTGGAAACCTCATGTGCTCCTCTGAGGAAATCGTGTACAAGGCAACAGGTAGCCCAGGAGAATGGAGAACAGCACCATGGGTACAGTTATGAACTCACTGAAGCCGAAGCAGCATGGGCAGAGCGCAGAGCAGGGAGCCAGGAAGGTGCTAGGGACAGAAGTGTTACACACCAACACAAGATTCGGCCCAGACAACAAGTGGCAGGTAGCCCATAGCTGAGAGGGGAGTGAGGGTTGTTTGGACAGAACCCTCCACTTTGTGTCCCATTGCCTCCTACACCCCACCCTGGGACAGGGAGCTTGGAAGCAATGGAGATGGCCGCCCCTTCTCCCTGGCCTCTGACCCAACCAATGACACTGAGAATGCCAACAGCACACTGGGCCCCCAGAGCAAAGGGCATCAACAGGCTGGGCATTTGCTCCTGATGCCCTTCAGTGGGACTAAGGCCTGGATGAGGAGTGATTAGGACAGGGGGAAAACCTCCTGGGCACACTGTGGTGCTAGGAACCCCATCGCAGGTCTGCAAACCACCCCAAACCAGCTATCAGCTGATGCCTATACCTGTGAAACAGAAACTAACCCAGGCCCTGCCTGACCTCAGGGGTATCAAATAAACAAATGGAATAGAAAGGCCTAATACCCAAGCAAACATTATTACCCATGTCCTTTTCTCAACCAGCAACTGACCTGTGAATTGTTCACTGTGCCTGCTGCTTCCAGCTGGAATCTGGCCCTGGAAAGAGGGTGCAATACCCTGCATCCCAAACACCTACAGGCCCATCCTCTTCCTGCTGCCCAGGCTAGAAACAAACATTGATCCTAAGGGGATGGGATTCCTCCCTCTCCAATCCCTGGGTGACAATGGCAGCGAAGGTCAGCAGCGTCCCTCCAGGTCCACCAGCCCCTCCCAAGCCCCTGTGGAGTATAAGATCAACACTGGTGTGGTGGATCACCATCCCTTCCACACCAGCCTTCACCTCAGACCTCAAGTGCACCCAACACCCAGGTTTTTACTTTTTCTTCTTCTTCTTAGCTCCCTCAAGTGGAGGATGGAAAGGAAAATCCCTGAGCCCATGGAACTGTATCATGAAAAAAAGAAATACAAACTCTCCAAGTGGTTTTCCTACACCACCTGGACTGACAGCCATTTTATTAAAGAAGGGAACCCGGCCTGACCCACTGCATCCCCGGATCCTTGTCCCCCAGGCTCACTGCATCCCCTTGCCACGGACCCCCTCTCCGCCCCTTGCCCCACCCAAGCCCCGTCTGCAGAGGTTCCACCCTGGACCCTGGACCCAGCTTCTCCGATTCTGACACCAGAACTCTACCAATCCACAAGCTCT